AAACAATTGATTGCAATTCATGTAAAATCAGTGATGAATTGCTAAACAATTGTCATATCATTACTAAATCTGATGATTATTTGCACTGTTTTTGGCCTAAATGTCAATTCAAGACAACGAGTAAACAACATATTGCTCAACACGAATTAATTCATTCAGATATAAAACAATTTAAATGTGATTTTAATAATTGTAATAAAAGTTTTAAATGGAAATCATTAAATTATAATAAATAAATTATTAATATATCATATAAATCCAATCAATATTTACACTGTTTTTGGCCTAAATGTCAATACAAGACAATGAGAACAGATACTCTTTACCAACATCAATTAATTCACGGAATAAAACAATTTAAATGTGAATTTAATAATTGTACTAAAGTTTTCATGAGAAAAACCATTTTAAATGATCACAAAAATAGCGTTCACTTAAGTATAAAATATTTTTGTAATTTCAAGGATTGTAACAAAAGTTTTACTGAAAGTAAAGGTTTAAAACTACACAAAAGATTTGTTCATTTGAATGAAAGGAAATTCAAATGCAATGAAGAAAATTGTGGCAAAAAATTCAGCACAAAACCGGATTTAATTGTTCACAAACGCATACATTCGGGAGAAAAACCATTTGTTTGTGATTTCAATGATTGTAACAATAGTTTTTCGCAAAAATGTGCTCTAATTCGACACAAAAATTGTGTTCATTTGAATGAAAGGAAATTCAAATGTAATGAAGAAAATTGTGGCAAAAAAATTCAAATCAAATCAGAGTCTCAACAAACATATATTCGGACATTCGGGAGAAAAACCATTTGTTTGTAATTTCAATAATAACTGTAATAAACGGTTTGCTTTGAAAAAGAATTTAAAAAATCATTTGATTCATAAACACAAACAAATTGTTTAAATAATTTCAAAAACACGGCTAAAGAAGTCAGAGATTTGTGGCCATAATTGGAGGCCATATTTAGCACCGGATTTGCATCACATGTTTGACCGGCGATGCGGTCGACGAGTGGACGAACTGTTGGCCGGAGTTTGAGTGAACGCTCGGCCGATGTGAGCGCCCGTATTGTGTCAAACCATTGGTTGCGGTTATTTTGTGAACAAAGTTGTTGACTGTCGGGCGATTTTGATTAGCATTATTTTATTATATTTTTATGCATTTGTTTTTAATATTTTTAAATAAAGTTCTGTACAAACAACATATCATTTTATTTTATATCATTATATTAGTACATAAACTACAACTTATTATTATTTTGAGTCCCCTTTGAATACATATAAATAGGAAATACATTAAATTAAAGTTTTCAAACTTAATAATTTGTGACGTTATTTATCATTAATAAATAAATTGATTTATTTTAATAACAAAACAATATGTTTCTTATTTTTAACAATATTTTATATAATATTAGATATTGTATATTTATATAATTTAATTGTTTGTAATGTCTAAACAACAATATAAGTAATTTATTAACATACAGTGGATTTATGTTTAGCACATGGTTGTTTATTTTATAAAATGTGTTTATTACTGAATAAAACCCAGAATATTAGCCATAGATTTTATGCCTCGACAACATGTTTTAATAAATTCTATAAGTTATAAACTCTAAAATGTTAATTATTTGGACCTTGGACATATCAATACAATACCAGTAAAGACACTTCTATAGCCATTAAGATATGAGTAGTGTTCACAGTTATCTGTTAAAACATATAAAACCATATAAAACACACTAAATTTAAAAATAATACAACTTGGTTTTATTAATAAAACCACATAAAGCCAGATTTTGGGAGTTATAAATTTATATATTGTGACAAAATATCCCATATTTATGTGTGTTTTTAAAATTATTTGTACATTTGTTAATAGTTTTGTACATTTAATTGTTTTCGGTAAATAAAATGCCAAAAAGAAAAACTTCAAATAAATGGATTAAATTATATCCAGATTTAAGGGTTAAAGAGAATACAATCACAAAATCTGATATTATTAAACCATATAAAACCATATTTTTCAAAGATTATTGATGAACCACCATATAACACCAGTTTATTCTTACAAATAATAAAACCATATAAAACACACTAAATTTACAAAAATAATAAAACCATATTTCCGTGAACACTAGATATGAGATAAATAATACCAAATGTTTGGTTCAAAGGGTTGCTAAACATAAGGGTTTTAAGCAACAAAAGTCCAGTATTTATACAACCCATGGAAACAGTATTTGAAATAAAATGTTTTTGAATTAATATTATAAATTTTATTTTGTGAGTTTCAGTCAAACTGACCACACGAATAAAGTTAACGCAATTACTATCAAATTCATAATAATTTTTACAATACTTTAACATTACTATTATTATAAATATTGTGCTTAAATATAAAATAATAGCTAATCCACAGTGTTTTTGGAAATGTGCTCAAAATTAATGAGTGTTTCGTTGATTGAAATGAAGAGTAAATTAAATGTAATGAAGAAAATTGCGGCAAAACATTCACATTAAAACAGACTCTCAATAATCATAAATTGAGACATTCGGGAGAAAAACTATTTGTTTGTCATTTCAATAATAACTGTAATAAACGGTTTGCTGTGAAAGACGATTTGAAAAAACATTTGATTCATAAACACAAACAATTTGTTTAAATAATTTCAAAAACACAGCTAAAAATTTCTAAGTGATTTGTGGCCATAATTTGAGGCCATATTCAGTAACGGATTTGCATCACATGTTTGGCCGGCGTTTGAAGTGAACGCTCAGCCGATGTGAGCGCCCGTATTGTGTCAAACCATTGGTTGCGCTTATTTTATGAACGAAGTTGTTGACTGTCCGGCAATTTTGATTAACATTATTTACTCATATTTTAAATAAAATTCTGTACAAACATCTATATCATTTTATTTTTATATCATTATATTAATACATAAACTACAACTTATTATTTCCTTTTGAGTCCCCTTTAAATACAAATAAATAGGAAATACATTAAACTAAACTTTTTAAGCATAATAATTTGTGGCGTTATTTATTATTAATAATAAGTTTATTTACTTTAATAATAAAACAACATGTTTCTTAATTTTAACAGTATTTTATATAATATTAAATATATACAGTATTTGTATAATTTAATTGTTTGTAATGTGTAAACAAAAAATTAAGTAATATTTTAATATACAGTGCATACAGTATATAAAATTTATATAATAATACATTTAATGTATTTTTATTTAGCTCATGGTTGTTTATTTTAAAAATGTGTTTATTGCTGAATAAAACCCAGAATATTAGACATAGATTTTACGCTTCGACAACACGTTTATTTAATTTCTATAATTAATTTTTAAATTCTGAAATGTTAATTATTTAGACCTTGGACATATTAATAGCAGTAGAGACACCGCTATAGCTATTAAGATATGTGACAAATAATACCAAATGTTTGGTTCAAAGGGCAGCAAAACATATGGGTTTTACAGTACTGTATTTAAAATTTAAATCATAAAAGTACAGCATTTAGACAACCCATCGAAACAGTATTTGAAATGAAAATGTTTTTGAATAGTTTTATTTTGTGAGTTTCAGTCAAACTGATAAGTTATCAGTGATAACACGTTTATAATTACTATAAAAATCATAATAATTTTGTTTAGCAAAACTATTATTATAAATATAAAGTTATAGTTAATCCACCGTGTGTTTGAAAATGTGTTTAAAATTAATGAGTGTTTTGTTGATTGAAATGAAGAGTAAATTAAATGCAATGAAGAGTTTGTGTGAAATAATAGACAAAATTCAGTGTATTTTGAATACAAATAATAGTGTTTTGTGTGAAGCGATTGAATGCGAAAATAATGATTATTTTTCANTGTTTTGTGTGAAGCGATTGAATGCGAAAATAATGATTATTTTTCAATCAATCAAACAATTGATTTCAATTTATGTAAAATCAGTGATAAAATGCTAAACAATTGTCATATCATTATTAAATCTGATGATTATTTACACTGTTTTTGGCCTAAATGTAAATACAAGACAAAATTGAGGGGTGACTTTAATAGACATCATTCAACTCATACAGGAGTTAAACAATTTAAATGTGATTTAAATAATTGCAATAAAGTTTTTAATACAATTAGTAATTTAAATCGTCATAAGAATAGATTTCATTTAAATGTGAGATTTATTTGTAATTTCAATGAATGCCACAAAAGTTTTACATCAAAATTTGCTTTAAATCAACACAAAAGTTGTGTTCATTTGAATGAAAGGAATTTCAAATGTAATGAAGAAAATTGTGGCAAAATATTTAGCAGAAAATTCTCACTCATTCAACACAAACGCATACATTCGGGAGAAAAACCATTTAATTGTCATTTTAATGATTGTCAAAAGAAATTTTTGCACAAAATCTGAATTATCAGATCATATGAAAAGACATTTGAATATAAAAAGCCATAAATGTATTCATAATAACTGTAATCAACGCTTTGTTTCATCGGGTGGTTTGAAATCACATTTAAATCATAAACATAAACAAATTTAATTGCTTTTAATTACAAAGGATTGTACATTAATATTATATTGTATAATTCATGATAAGATAAAAATAAAATAATTATGTAATAACAAAACATTTTATTAATAAGGAATTAATTATTATCTTGATTATTCAGCAATAATTGATTGTCAATTTAATCAACTTATTTTATTGATCAAAAATATTGATTCCAAATGCCATCACATGTACTGAAAGTGAAAGTTTAAAACAACACAAAAGTAGTGTTCATTTGAATGAAAGGAAATTCAAATGTAATGAAGAAAATTGTGACATTATTTATAATTATTAATTACTACATACTGACAGGAAAATAATAGTTTAGTACAGTTGAACATCATTAATGGTAAACCTAAACAACAGTTAAAACCCGTTATTAGTCATTATTCGTCACGTGACTCTCTCTT